TAATTACCTCCAAGATTCTAGGGGGTGGGGGTAATTACCCCTAGGATTCTAGGGGGGTATTTACCACCAGGATTCTAGGGGGGGGTATTTACCCCCAGGATTCTAGGGGGGGGTATTTACCCCCAGGATTCTAGGGGGGGGTAAATAACCCCAATAACCCCCCTTATATCCGCCACTGTGTGAGCCGTGTTGATAAATGAATATCAATTAAAGTGTTGATTTCGTCCAACTAAAAAACCAAATTTATATTTGATATTCCATTATTAATTTCAACCTTTTCCCTCAATTCATTCTAAATTTTATCATACTGTGTTTTGTTAAGTATTTAAAGAAACGTCAACTTAAAAACCATTTTCACTAATATTTGTTTACTGTTTAGGAGATGAAGCAGACAAGATGGAGAAACAAACTGGAGATTTTAATAGCGGAAATAGTCCTGTCACAAATGACGAGGGGCCGTCTCCAAATGAAAAACCAATTCGTCCTGAAGAACATGTAGTACGGAATGGAGAGACTTTAAACAGTATCTCTGCTATGTATGACGTCACTCCCTCGGAAATGGCGCAATGTAACAAATTAGGAATTTCCAGATTTATTTTCCCCGGACTGATTTTGAAGATTCCTCCTCCTGCTCCCCCTCCTGCACCACCGAAAGAAAATCTAGATGATCTGGAGGTGGTAGAATATCAGTTTATTAAACTCAGGGTCAGACATATAACAGTGGGTAGAGGAGTGGTCGGAGGTAGTATTCTTTTTACTCCAAATGCGATAATATTCGATCCTGATCCAGCAGATCCCCTTGTAGAGGAGTTAGAACCAGAGGCATTTCAGATAATTGCTCCAATGGAGTTTGTAGTTAATGCTGCCATTTTCCTCGACTTTTTCCCAATTGGAAACACAGGGAAAACATCGGGGAAAGAATATCCTCCCTCACGAATTTTCAGGTATTTAAAATAATTTACATATGTACTTTGCTTGTCTGTCTGTTTGTTTGAATCCAATAAACCCCAAAACAGCTAAATTACAAAACTTTGTCTCCAAATTATTTTGATTTTCAATTTCATAAAAGTTTGAAAATCCACGACATTTTTTTATAAATCCTCGAACTTTTTAGTTATTTTTTTATATAGTTCGAAGAGAAACATGATCAAAGATTAAACCACAATTAAAAGTAGAAACAGAAGATGTTTACAGCTAAATATTATACTTCTTTATAGTATATAAGTTTACCAAAAGTTTAAAATGCTATATATCTACTATATTATAAGCCGTAAATAAAAATATATTCTTACAATGAAACCAGAGGAAGCAGTGAAACCGTTTTATATTTATTCCTGGGACAATAGCTTCCTTTATTTAGAAAGTTTACGTCCTATAGGGCTTCGATTTTGTGTTAAATGTAAAATTGTACATTTATGTAAGATTGTGTAGATGCATTTTAATTTTTAATCTCCAACCTTTTCCTAAACTTCTTATACAAGTATTTTTGTTTAGATTAGACCCGAAAGTTACAAAAATAACTGCAAAGCGTGATGGTGATCTGGATGAAGAGAAGAAAGGAGATGAAGAGAAATTAGAGGAAAGACAACAGAGAGAAGGTTCCAACTACAGTTTAAGTGAAGAAGGAAAGGAAACTGAGAAAATAGAAAATAATTCCGAGATTTGTTCTCTACTTACCAGGTCAGAGGAAGGGGGTTGGGGAAATATTTGTTGAAAAATTCATATTACATAGATAAAAATTGAATAGACCTCAGACGTAGACATTGATAGATAGACTTTTGAATAGATCATAGATTCTCAATAGACCAGAAGACGGTTACATAAATATAAATTAGATAATTACAAACGGTTTACAGAAATAAACTGGATAAATCATATAGGGTTACATAAATAGAAACTAGATAAATCATAGACGGTTACATAAATAGAAACTAGATAAAGCACATAGAAGGATATATTGACAGAGAGAGCCTAAAAAAGATAAGAAATGAGGTTTAGAAACACCTGAGTAAATTTTTATCATTATTTAAACTAAAATTATTTATCTGAACAAAAGATATAAAGGAAAAACAGAGAACGCGACAATTAAAAAATTTCATTAATATAATATGTTTGTAGGTCGGATCCCCTATATTTAAGATTGACCATGGGGAAGCCTGTAGGCCGCGAGGTAATTTATGTTTATTGATATTATATTATTATATATTATTATATTATATGGTTTTTCCAACAGATCAATAACATGGAATATAAGCGCTTAAAGGGAGCATAGTGACCAGAACTAATGGGGTACCTGTACCAGTACACTTTAACATGTAAATAGTTTACAGAAGATTTCTTATGATTTCTGCTCTGGTTTTATTGAATAAAGTGAAAATAATTTTAGTTCAACTCTAATAAAGGAACCTCACGAGGGCGGTACTCAACGTTTAAACGGCGACTGTTCTTATTTTTTTTTAATGAAAGATAAAAGGTTATTTTTGTCCTCATTGCAATTTGATTAAGTTGAAAAGGGTTCAGAAGAGATAATAGGAATTACAATTATTGAGAAAATAATGAATAAATTTTGTTTATATATAGGTTAGTAAATCAACCCCAACAATGGCGTATGGTCTCCAGATGATGATGCCTGAATATTGGTTTATTGTTCCAGCTAAACAGATACTTAATCTTTACAGGCAGAAAATGCTTATATAACGGAGATCAAGCCGGTTTTTCAATGAAATTACAAAAGCTTGATTTTTTATTAATAAACTCAAACCCTGAGATAATTTGAAAGCATATTCTGCACTAGATTCTTAATGACCTGGTTTCCTGAAATATATGTTCCTTTTGATCTTGAGGAATTAACATGGAATAGATATTTATTGTAGGTTTGGCTTTAACTAAGGCGCTTCCCGACCTTTTTAAGTATTAATCTTCCAAGTGTTTCTTTTTACTAAATTTAAAGGGAGTGTTTGCGAAAAATGAAAGGGGTATAGGCTTAATGCGATAAAAAGGCGCTTTTGATCGCTACTAATCTTACTTCTATCTTTTGCGTCTATAAGGAGAAAATTGATAAATTTGAAATTAAATTGATTTTTTTACAGTCTAAGTCGTATGTTGCAATTTTTTTCAATTTTTATGGGCGCTACGTTCTTCGGTATGAGACGTCTTTAACAATTTTCTCCTTATAGACGCAACAGATAGAAGTAAGATTAGAAGCGATCAAAAGCGCTTTTTTATCGCATTAAGCCTATACCCCCTTTTATTTTTCGCGACTAATAATTTGATTTTTTCTTCCAATTGCCAGCAGATAGATTATATTACTAAATATTTTGTAGCAGGGACGTACGAGGGGGGGGGGGTAGATTGGATACATCAAAGAAAAGAAGCTCGTGCTAGAAAATCAATAAATCTAGGATAGATTGGATTTTTAGCTTTTATCTAATGGAGAAAAAATATTAAATTATAGAATGTAAGATGGTTAATAATTTATGATAAATATTTGGTTGGTAAGGTTTATTTTATTTTTATTAAGTTAAGATTTCTAATAATTCTAAATGATATATATATATAGAAAAGATTCCATGTTTTGTATGATCAGGAGATACATGAGAATGGTTTTGAGCTTGTTCCTGAACCTGATCTAAGCTCTGCTGAACCTAGTGGTCCTGTCAACTCTGCCAGCAGGATTATACAGAAAACAATGACAATGAATAGTATTGGTAAGAGTATTTATAAAAACTTGTCTAAACAAAAGTGTACTTAATCTTCTGGGTGAAAAATAAACAACAGTACAGTATTTTGAAAACAAGGTTTTGGGGTGTTCCTAGTGCAGGTTTCTTCTTGCATATATAAAACATATAGTGTTCTCGGTTTTACTAAGAAAGTAAGATCCACTCGATCTGTATTTAATTTTTCTTCGGTGGAAAATATTTGTGTTAATTTTATTCAGTTTGGTGAGTGGGAGGGGGAGGATAAATACGATCAGCCCCATTCAGACCAAACTAGACATATCCTAGACAGTTATTGTTCCGCTCGATCTTAAATTCTTAAAGTTTACTTCCTGTTCTATATCTAACTTTTCTTTATGCGCTCTACTTTCCTTTTTTATTAAAGTTGAAACTTACTTTGAGAATATTGCTTGAATTGGGAAGAGGAGGGTGTGAGGGATTCAGCATTCCTGACTCAGAAGAGTAGAAGCTAGTGAGATACTTGAGAAGGGGGAATCAAGTGCAAGATATTGAATAAAGAACCCCCCCCCCCCCTTGTTCTGAAAGAATATATCCAAATTTAATATTTTGTAGATTTTCCATATTTCCCCCAGACTTGTTATTTACAGATAAAACTGTCAGTGTCAAGCTAAATGTTGAGTTTCTTTTATTAAGTAGAAACCCTTCACTTTTTACAAAATATAGAAAATTATTAAGAGGGTTAAAGCACATTATATCATAAAAAGTTAAATGAATATTTTGATTAACATTTTTTTGTTAGTGCTAGGATTTGCATATAAACGATCCTATAGGATTCCTGGATCTGTGTTTAAGTGGCAAAATATCAGCCATTATGTACAGAAATAAATTCTAATAATTCCATTCAGGATTTGAACCGGCTTCAAAATGATATTGATCTCTATGAAAGATTTTTAATTATTTTCCTTTTCCATTTACAGATAACAAGAAGTTTAAACTTTCTGAAAATCAACTTGATTAAAGTTCATGAAAAAGTTCTGAATAACTGATATTAAAGAGGTTTCCTTTATTTAGACCTGGATATCTTGATGCCAGAGCTAACTGAGAAATCTGATTTATTATCAGATGATCAAAGAAAACTTCTCTATAGATATCTACCTCCACGAGTGCAGGTCAGTTCAACCAAGGAACACGAATTTCGATTACAAATATCAAGTGCCTGAAATTTAGGTTAAGGTATTAAAAATCTTGTTTTATGAACGGGTAAGACAATTTTGTTGATATTGAATGATAAATTTTTATCGAGTAAGATTATAAAATTACTCTACTTTTGAAGTTCCTCGTCGTTTTCGGTTTCATTATTTAAAACCTAAACAAAGTTTGGTCGGGACCCAAATAGAAATTCGGTCTACCAGATTCACCAAACAGGGCTTTATTATCATTCTAAATTTCCGGCTGAAACTGACATCCAAGTTAAACATGTTCATTGTCCAAATAGGGGGGAAGGAAGGCTACACACCAGTTTTACCTCCAACCGACAAAGATAAGAGAAGATAGATAAGATAAGATAAAGTTTATTGCTAAAATAAATGTATCTGTATACAGATAGAGTTTACAATCACAAAATTGATGATTATATTAACAGTACAAGTATAAATGTGGAACTAACATCTACTTTTTTACTCTACAGAGGTTTGGTCAATCACCATCACTGAATTTTAAATCAAGTATAAAGCAATTAGGTGGAAAATAGCTCTTGGCTGTTTTGATTATTTTTTCCACCTAATGTTAGTAATAATAACAAAATATTTCAATTAAATAGATCTAAGGAGAACGATTAGAGATCAGGGTGCGAATTTATCATATGCAAAATAGTTTATACATAAATTCGAATAACTAGAGTTTAAAGTAATTTTCAGACATGTACACAACAAATATCAAAGTATATTAAAGCATATCTAATTAGTTTTACATGAATAGCAATAGATAGGTATTAAAATATCCGTGTTGAAACACTGAGTTCAGTAATATTAAATTAGTAAAAATCCCTTGAAAAATAAGAAAATTATAAGCAAAAATCAGATTTTTGCTTATAATTTGTCAAGAGTATCAAAAAAACTAGTTGTTAACATACTTATTTTTCCTAAGATCAGAACTTTAGTGTAGAATATTGTTAATCTTGAACACTTGATCTGGAAATCCAGTGTGGGTACTTTTTGTGGATCAAACCTTGATCTTACAATTATAAAGTCATCCCTGCAGGGTTTGACCACCACTGGATATCGAAGAGGAAATAAATTAATTGATGGAGATCAATGTTTAATCCCCAGATTTAGAACACTAAAGTTCCGACTATAGAGTTGATATTCATTGATTTCCTTATTGCCTCTCAAACAATGACATGGGTGGTCCAAACCTTATGATTTAGTTTGATCCAGTCTCATAATGCATGTTTGTTTATAGTTTTTTTATTTATCAGGGAAGTGGTTGGAGCTTGATGTTTTCTTCAAGTAAGGATGGATTTTCTCTACACTCCTTGTACAGGAAAGCGGCACTAGTGGACAGTCCTGTTCTCATTGTAATTCAGGTTTGATCTATTAAATTTTCAAAGTTCAAATTTAACTTTTAATAGATATTGTGTGCCACTGTACCGGTATTTAAAGTGGTGATTAATTTACATTGTATAAAATCATGTACTTGTAGGATACTTCTTCTTCTCAAATACTTTATTAAAAACAAAAGGAAACTTATACACTTAGATTATAATTATAAAGTGGCTTGTTCACCCTCTATAGTTTCAGATAAAATAACAAACGTGATTTCAAATATTCCATGAAAGAAGAAATAGAGATAAACTTTTAATAAATCTGCAATAAATTATGGATTTATGAATTTACTTGTAGGATACTGATCATGCTGTATTCGGCGCATTGATATCTTGTCCTCCTGTTATGTCTGAATCTTTCATGGGAACTGGAGAATCATGGCTCTTCACATTCTACCCATCGTTTAAGGTAAAACTTAACCCTTCTCCATTCTCCCACTCCCTTTCTTT